TTTTTTTAAGATAAAAGATTTTGTTCTTGCCTCACGGCCACATATTTGGAGCTACAGTCACCATTTTTGGTCAGTTTGTAGACTGAAATCTCTGGACTCACACAGTGTCTTCAGAATTACGGTAGGATTAATACTTTTCCTTAAAAACGCTCCAGACCGACCTAAAGTCGATGAAAATCAGAGCCGTTTTTCATTGGTTTTGGAGCAGAAGAGGGGAGAAAAACGAACACCACTATGTGTTTTCAACTCGTCATAAATATTTTTCTGAATGACACACATACACCAAAGTTGGCATAGTTGGAGTCGAAGGATTGCTGATGCTCACGGTGAAGAAATTCTTTGAATAACTCATACGGTTTTTGCTCAGCAGTCGTTTGTTCGGAGCTGTTCCTCCCATTCAAAAAAGCCTGAGAGCTAAGGAACGATAGTGCTGCGCTTTTCTCTCTGTCACTGACAGGCTCGTTAAGCGTTGTCAAGGTAACCGTGCTTCAAACAGATTTTACCTCTGCTGTTTTAAACAGCACATATTAATCTAATGGAGGGTGAAAGCACTGATTTAACATTGGGAAATGGATACTATATGACTGATGTCCATGACACTTCCCTTGCCACTCAACACTGATAGACTTTCAAAATAAGACTCCAGGGACCCTACAAAATAAAAGCCTCTATATTTTTTACATATATTTATTGCCCTATATGGCTCAACATTATGACCCAAACACAACCCCATTTTAGAGAATAGACTCTAGGAGACTGTTTAAAACACACCCTAAGGCAAATTTCAAAATAAAAGCCTCCCATTTCCGCTTCATCTACTGCCCTAATAACATGGAAAAAAGAGTGATTTAACGATTGGAAAGTCATCAACTATCATTGCTGGGTCTGAACATTTTCTCTAAACACAACTCTGTTGGACTTTCAAAATAAGACTCCAGGGACCCTACAAAATAAAAGCCTCTAGATTATACTAATGCAATAATTGATGCAAATGGCTCAACATTATGACCCAAACTCTTCCAGGTTGTTTTTATTAGACTCTAGTGACCTTTTCAAAACACACCCCAGAGCAAATTTCACAATAAAAGTCTCCCATTTACTCTGTAATACAGCAGCTATTCACCTAATAACATGGAAAACCAGTGATTTAACATTTGGAAATGGATTCTATATCACTGCTGGGCATGACCCATCTTTTGATGCACATCCATGATAGACTTTCAAAATAACACTACAGGGACTCTACAGAATAAAAGCCTCTTCCTTATACACACTCATACATTCTGGCATATTGCTCATAGCCATTTGTAATTTCATCACTGCAATGGCTCTGAGCATGCGGGCGGAGCCCGCCATTGGTGATTTCATCACTGCAATGGCTCTTAGAAGGCGGGCGAAGCCCGCCAATGGTGATTTCATCACTGCAATGGCTCTTAGCAGGCGGGCGGAGCCCGCCATTGGTGATTTTTTTCATCGCTGCAAGGGCTCCTAGCAGGCGGGCAGAGCCCGCCAACTGCGCTTTACCCACTGCGGTTCAATATGGACAAACCATATTACCCTTGTGCATCATACGCTGTGCACGTCTATTTCCCAGATTTCAGCACAAGTGGCACACAGCTCTCTTTGCCCATGACCTAGCCCTCTTTCCTTCCCTCAGCAGCCCTCAAAGGCGTAAGCAGTTGGTCTGGGGAGCCCCAATGTCACTTGCCAGGGCCGTATTGGCCCAGTTACCCAGACGGGCAGTAGGTGGCCCCCCTCAAAATTTCTTTAGAAATTTTCTAGTTAGGGGGGCCACATGCCGAAGGCATGGCCCACCTATTACTATTGCACATATTTATTCCGCGTATTATTATTATAGCTTATAGTTCTCCTCGTCCCCTAAAACTTCGGCGCGTAACTAGTCCCGCACGGTTTGTCGGATCGGGCCCAAAGTTGGCACACGCGTCGGGACCAATGGTGCGATGCGTGCTTGTATAAAACTTTCTCATTAGTCCGAAGGTTCGCGAATTATTAGCGAAAACGTCGCAAAAAAAATCCCATAGGAAATGAATGGGGAGAGGTAAAAAAAAGCATAAAAAACAGCACTTCACTGTGTCGGCATACATTCATGTAGAAAAACAGTTTAAAGCTCAGTTTGTAGATAAATCCTTCGTCTATTTAAAACTGAAGACGGCATGTTGATAACTGCTACGGTTTTTGTATAATCAGACCTCAAGCGCCACAAAGTTTTAGCAAAATCCACCCTTCTAGAGTGGAGAGACTGAAAAGCTAGAGTGTGAGGCAGCCGTTTTTTTAAGACCAAAAAACATTTTAAACTCGCCCTCACGGCCACATATTTATAGCTAGAGTCACCATTTTTGGTCAGTTTGTAGACTGAAACCTCTGGACCCACACAATGTCTTCGGAATTACGGTAGGATTAATACTTTTCCTTAAAAACCCTCCAGACCGACCTAAAGTCGATCAAAATCAGAGCCGTTTTTCATTGGTTTTGGAGCAGAAGAGGGGAGAAAAACGATTGACAGTATGTGTTTTAAACTCGTCATAAATATTGTTCTGAAAGACACACATACACCAAAGTTGGCATAGTTGGAGTCGAAGGATGGCTGACGCTCACGGTGAAGAAATTTTTTGAATAACTCATACGGTTTTTGCTCAGCAGTCGTTTGTTCGGAGGACATTTTAAGCACCAGAAAGCTGGGTGAGAGGGACCTGCTGCAGCTAGCTCAATTAGAAGCTCAGGTGTGATGAAACGTTTTTTCTTTTTCTTTCTCTTCCCATTCAGGTTGTAGATGACCTACAGCCATGAAAGTTACTCCAATTGAAGACAAGATATAGCTGTCGCTTAGATAAAAATAATTTTTCAGATACCTTTTACGGTTTTTACTCAGCAGTCGTTTGTTCGGAGGGGTGCTTTAGCAGCTTAAAGGTGAGTGAGAGTGTGGTGCTGCAGTTAAAACAAAGGGAGGAGCAGGTGGGATCAGCCATTTTGTTTGTGCTTCGTTTTGGGTTGTGAAAGACCTACAGACATGAAAGTTACCCCAGTCTGAGACAAAGGATAGATGTTTCTTTCACTGAAAGAATTTTTCAAATACCTTTTACGGTTTTTGCTCAGCAGTCGTTTGTTTGGAGGGTAAGCACCTGGAAGCTAGCTGACAGTTAGCTTCTGCAGCAGCCTGCTGCAGCTGCTGAAGGAGGCTGTCGTTTTTTTAAGATAAAACATTTTGTTCTTGCCTCACGGCCACATATTTGGAGCTACAGTCACCATTTTTGGTCAGTTTGTAGGCTGAAACCTCTGGACTCACACAATGTCTTCAGAATTACGGTAGGATTAATACTTTTCCTTAAAAACCCTCCAGACCGACCTAAAGTCGATGAAAATCAGAGCCGTTTTTCATTGGTTTTGGAGCAGAAGAGGGGAGAAAAACGAATGACACTATGTGTTTTCAACTCGTCATAAATATTTTTCTGAATGACACACATACACCAAAGTTGGCATAGTTGGAGTCGAAGGATTGCTGATGCTCACGGTGAAGAAATTTTTTGAATAACTCATACGGTTTTTGCTCAGCAGTCGTTTGTTCGGAGCTGTTCCTCCCATTCAAAAAAGCCTGAGAGCTAAGGAACGATAGTGCTGCGCTTTTCTCTCTGTCACTGACAGGCTCGTTAAGCGTTGTCAAGGTAACCGTGCTTCAAACAGATTTTACCTCTGCTGTTTTAAACAGCACATATTAATCTAATGGAGGGTGAAAGCACTGATTTAACATTGGGAAATGGATACTATATGACTGCTGTCCATGACACTTCCCTTGCCACTCAACACTGATAGACTTTCAAAATAAGACTCCAGGGACCCTACAAAATAAAAGCCTCTATATTTTTTACATATATTTATTGCCCTATATGGCTCAACATTATGACCCAAACTCAACCCCATTTTAGAGAATAGACTCTAGGAGACTGTTTAAAACACACCCTAAGGCAAATTTCAAAATAAAAGCCTCCCATTTCCGCTTCATCTACTGCCCTAATAACATGGAAAAAAGAGTGATTTAACGATTGGAAAGTCATCAACTATCATTGCTGGGTCTGAACATTTTCTCTAAACACAACTCTGTTGGACTTTCAAAATAAGACTCCAGGGACCCTACAAAATAAAAGCCTCTAGATTATACTAATGCAATAATTGATGCAAATGGCTCAACATTATGACCCAAACTCTTCCAGGTTGTTTTTATTAGACTCTAGTGACCTTTTCAAAACACACCCCAGAGCAAATTTCACAATAAAAGTCTCCCATTTACTCTGTAATACAGCAGCTATTCACCTAATAACATGGAAAACCAGTGATTTAACATTTGGAAATGGATTCTATATCACTGCTGGGCATGACCCATCTTTTGATGCACATCCATGATAGACTTTCAAAATAACACTACAGGGACTCTACAGAATAAAAGCCTCTTCCTTATACACACTCATACATTCTGGCATATTGCTCATAGCCATTTGTAATTTCATCACTGCAATGGCTCTGAGCATGCGGGCGGAGCCCGCCATTGGTGATTTCATCACTGCAATGGCTCTTAGAAGGCGGGCGAAGCCCGCCAATGGTGATTTCATCACTGCAATGGCTCTTAGCAGGCGGGCGGAGCCCGCCATTGGTGATTTTTTTCATCGCTGCAAGGGCTCCTAGCAGGCGGGCAGAGCCCGCCAACTGCGCTTTACCCACTGCGGTTCAATATGGACAACCCATATTACCCTTGTGCATCATATGCTGTGCACGTCTATTTCCCAGATTTCAGCACAAGTGGCACACAGCTCTCTTTGCCCATGACCTAGCCCTCTTTCCTTCCCTCAGCAGCCCTCAAAGGCGTAAGCAGTTGGTCTGGGGAGCCCCAATGTCACTTGCCAGGGCCGTATTGGCCCAGTTACCCAGACGGGCAGTAGGTGGCCCCCCTCAAAATTTCTTTAGAAATTTTCTAGTTTCTCATACTGTCTCTATATCGAAAGCAGGAAGAACACATATCAGTGTCACTTTTACTTCAAGAGAGTATTTCAAAGTAACTCACAGTGGTGTTGGATAATTTCCATTCAGCGACTGAACTAGACAAACACTGACCGACACGCGAGACAATCACAGGACATGTGATGGAAATACCATACAGTGACTCAGAGGAGTTAAAGAAAACAAATTACACAAACATGCAAAACACTTTGGTTGGAAGTTCAGAGAAGCGCATTTCCAAGCAAAGCAAGTGTGAGACATCTAACATAAGTTGCAATGTGATAGAAAGTTGACATAGATTTACTACAACTAAAAAGAAATTATACAGTGGAACAAAAACGGTGCAAAAATACAGAAGTAGGATACAAAACAGGCTACGAAATTCAGATGGTGTTAAAACACAATACATTGACAGTTAGCACCGTGTAATGACAGCAAATCAATTATTTAACACTGACCTTAGCATACAAAAGGAATATAAAATATAAGGCTTGTGTTTCACAGGGTATGGATTAAACTAGTAAAGAACTGAAAAGTTAATCCATATCTGTGATGATTTGATACAACACCAAAGATGCAACTTCTCTCCAGGTGAGGAAACCCCCCTGCTGTGACCTTACCTCCCATTCCTTCACATTAAGGTCAGTGATGGGCTCATCGACGGGCGTTTCTGATGCAACGTGCTTTTTGACCACCATGAACCCGGGTTCTTGGCCCATCCCCCTGATGCCCTCTCCGTACATGTCTGGACTCCACTGCATGAAGAATACATACAGGTGCTCTGATCTGGAGAAGAAGCACAAGATGAACAGAAACTTGCTTTAAAAACTGAGTCTTTTTCAGAAGATCTTGATTGAATAAAAAGTATAAATATGAAACCAACCAGATGATAAGATTATGAATAGAAAAATCAACCAAAAAATGCATCATTGTTAATATTAAATGAACAAATTTGGAGCAAAAGGTCAAAGTTTAGGGCAGAGGTCACGGATTAGTGGACCGCGGTTCTATATATGAAACTGAAAGATGTTGTTCAATTTAGATTTTAAAATGGAAAAACATTTATAGTTCAGTGTTAAATTCTGTTTAAAGTAACATTATAATTAAAAATGTCTCCGGATCTTTACTGTTTGATGATTTTCTTTATTCGGACCCCGCTGGTTTTTAATTGGTTCCCCCTGGTTTAGGGAGAAGACAAACCGTCATTCATTTGTCTCTAGTTGACTTTTGTATACAATGAGTTCAAGTCAAACACTGCCCTTATCATCATCCTGCCACCACCATGTCTGAGTGTTAATATGCGGCAAAATAAAACCTCTGCCATTGAACACAGGAGCAGCAGATGCATCTGGAAACACTTTACTGGACGTCTGACCTTAACGTGGACAAGCATCAAAAATAAAGCAGCAGAAGCTTTTTTGCTTCTTCCAGCGCTTGCGGTCTGAATGTAGCATTAGTCAATCAAAGCAGCCAGAGTGTCCTTTAAAAATCCCAGCATATTGGCTTTGTTTTTATTTAACAAAAAAAAAAAACAGAATAAAACCTGTTGTTTCCATACATTTGTAATCTAATTATATAAAAGCACTTGATAAAAACATCTTTATTTAAGATGAGAGAGGCCTAACTCTCCAGTCAGATTTTCTTATCATGTAAAAGTTGTCATTTAACCAAGATTTGTTGCTTGGTTACATTACGAGGCCAAAGAGGAGCGACAGTGTTTTGACTCAACTATCAGGACACTGAAATCAGATTTTTGAAGCATCCTTCCTCCTCTAGAAGATCCTTAATGTGCAACTTCTAAAGTCTAACAATCTAATAAACTCCAAACATTCTAAGCAAACAGAAAAGCGCGATAAAGCAAAGGATGAAGAGCTGCAGAAGAGTGAGGAACTAGCTGAGCGTGGGCCTTTCAGCACACTCTCTCCTCACTCACTAATGACATGACACATCTTGCGGGTCGCCTCCCATCTAGGTCAAGCCACGGAGAGACTAGCAGCATCTGAATAAACAATACTGTGAAGGATGTCGAGGCAATCTGAAAGATTTATGACCGCGTCCCAAAACAAACTCCGTCGTGCATGAATCGGAAACTGAACCACCAGGTGAGGGAGAAGGAGTGGGTGGGGATCTGAGCCCCACATCTTAACGTTAGCTTTAAATCTGAAAAACTTTTGCTTTATTACACGCAAGAGCAACACGGTTAGCTAAGCAACCTGAGGGCCAAAACAGAAAGAGCAGTGAACAAGCATTACCTGCAGATTCCAGTAGAGGATGCGAGGCAGATAGATGAGCACTGTTGTACAGATGCACGCCATTTTCACAATAACACTGAAATGCAACGACTTCATCAACTGCAGTCTTATTTTTCCATTGACACAATCTCTGCATCACTTTTCGTTTAGCTAATTTTAAATTGGTAACTGTGGTGAGAGACTTGTGATGCAGTATTCAATGTGAGATAAAATCATTGAGTGGAGAACAATTCTAGCAGCACCAAGTGTTAAAAAAGACCTGATTTGTTTAAAATGTTTAAGGTTAAATTTGACAGTATTGGCAAGTTTTTTTTATATGGTTTTTAAAGGACAAAGTGGAATCAAGTATCACGCCAAGATACTTGAATTCTGTGACAAGTTGTAATTCTTCTCCTCTCAAGAATACTCCGGAGCTTTTTATTTCTTTTGATTGCTTTGAGAAAATCAAACAGACCGTTTTTTTTTTTAAATTGAGAAGCAAACATGATTTAAAAAGCCAGTCATTTGCTTGCTCCATGGCTGAGGTCAGAATAGAAGCTGCCTCTTTAACACTCCTTGAATGAGTATAAATTACAGCGTCATCTGCATACATTTGAAAATTCACATTATTACATGTTTTGTAGGTATGGGGCATTGCAGGCTAACAAGAGAAGCAGAACAAACCCCATTCCAAAGGGGTGGACCCCTCTGTTCGTTTCAATTTGCATGTTTACTAAAAAACAACAAGGTTTTTGTGGGCTACTGTATAAAACCTGGAACTCAAAGCCATTCCTGACATTTTGAATTGAAAAACCTTCCTGGATGGAAAGCGAAACGTCTTAAAACTTGGAAACAAAGTCCAACAGGATTCCTGTTTTTTCTTTGGAATGACTATGACCTGGATGACTGAGAATCGTCACCGGAAAATCCTCTGTATGTTGTGCAGCTCTGACAAAAAAAACACAACATAATTTCATCTGTCATTGGATCTTTAATTGTATAATAATCCTGCAATAGATGTAGAAAATAATTTTTGAGACAAGAGTTCCTATTTTTTGCCTAGTAACACTGATATTGATTCCCAGAACAGATTTCATAACACTAATTTGATCAAATATTTGTTTTAAATTCATACAATTAGATCGTCCTTAAAAGCTCACAGCTTCCTGTTTCAATGGGCTATAATATGCCACGACACAGAGGCAGTAGGCTGAACACGAACCTATATTTATGTTGATGCCACACTGAGCTGATTGGTAGGAGGAATTGCATTGACTTTTCTACCTTTCATAAATGCATCCCTGCAGAAGAAGTAACTAAGCAATGAAAAGCCCTATGGGAGACCGTCTGCAGCTAAGTCAACTAACCTCAACACTAAATCAGCGAGTGCTGGATTACATTAGCTTCAAATCAGGCCTAAATGAAAGGATTTGTAAATGAAAGTAACTTATCAAATTAAGCTATTAGTGCAAAGGGGAACAATTCTTCACATTATGAGGATCCAGACAGACACTTATAATGCGTCCCCCTCGTGCTAAACGCTCCAAATGTAATTGTGAGTAATGCTTACAAGGCAGCAGAGCATCAACAGTTTCTGGCTTGTTGGAGAAACTCCAACATAAAGCCTTCAGCTTAAATCCTACATAGTTTATCATCACTTCTGATGGCAGAATTTATTAGCCTAAAGTTAAAAAGGTTTGGCTTTTCCTGCAGCCTGGGTGAAGAAAATAAAGTATGAGTTTATTTCTCTCTAGAGGAAATGAAAAATAAATGATGTTGCTGTGGATGAGAGGAGGCACTGGGTAACAGAGGTTAAGGGATTCATTCATAACAAAGCGTTTCATTGCTGTGGATACAGACCAGGATTGTTGGGAGGTGTCGTAATACTGACCTCTCCTGTGGAACAGCGAACCAGTACTCGTTTTTCTTGCCCTGCTGGGCGTACTGCTGCATGGAGGCGCTGGCGTTGGAGACAAACGTCTTCTTCATCGGCTTGCCCACCCGTAAACACAGGAACTTGTGAGAGCGGTGCTTCCTCTTCTCACCAGAACCTGGAAACAAACAGGCATGTGCTCAAAGAAACGTAAAAACCAAGGGCTAAATACCTGATCCTGATGATTGATTTTTTTTTTTCTATAAAAAGGCTTTGATTTCTACCTCTCCCAAACAAAACTTCACATTTCTTGTGGATCAAAATAAGCCTATAAGCTGCTAATGAATGGTTAACAGTTTAAGTCTCTTTATTTGAAAGACATAAAGCATATTTTAGAGCTTTTAACTTGATGTTGCAAATTTGAAAAAAGTATTTTGAGTCACGATCCCTACATTATGATAACACTACTATTTAAGTGGACACTAGTAGAGGTGTAATCACAGGAGGAATTTCAACTCACGTTCACCCATAGAAATAGCATAGCAAGTACCTTTGTAATAAAAATCGACGTAGTTCTCTGCAGCTGAGTTTTACAGGTGAAAAAAAATAATAATAATAAGCAGAATATTGGGATGAGGACACATTTTGGCCATGATTAAAATCGATTGTTCCATCAGAGTCGACAGGCAGACCGCTGAAATGATTGCAGATGTTATGTGCAGTTAGCCAGCTTAGAAAATACTTTTTTTAACCGATAATTAACAGAAGGTGGATCGCTTTTTTTTCCTCTTTTTGAGCCAAATGAATGAATAATATTAAGTAAATTCGTAACAATGTACCTACAATAAATGTTTAAACCCTTTTTAAATGTTCTTACTGTTCATTTTATTTGGTTAATGTTTAATAAACCGACACAAACGGAGGGAATAATCATGAAAAGGAAAAAGAAGAATGCATGGTTTACATTTTTTCGTTTCACTCTGAAAACCTCAAATGAAACAATAATAAGAGTGTATGGCTGCCGCCTGGAGACCGCCTGTGTCATAGCGCTTATCTGATGAATGTAAAAGCCCCATCCCCACATGTTACCTTTAAAAAAACTCAGTTTACAAATCATAACTTGTCATTTCTTGCAGGTGATCAAATGTACAGCTTTAATTCTTCTCTACTGTTTTAGCATGTAGCTAGTTAAGATGAAAAATTATGGTGAGAGCGTCTGATGATGGTTTAGGTATTCCTCCTGTGGAGTTAGGGTTAGTACATAGCAGGCTGGTGAGGAAATATGTAACCAGAAGTTTTATTTAGAAAGGTAAGAGAATGATACTTGATGATGACTTAAGATGTGGCTTAAATTCTCCAGAAGAAGAGAAGACCGCTATGAGCCGAACCCGTCTCAAATAAAATACAGTGAGACAAGCTGACTTTTGAAAAGCTTTTCTATTTCCTCTCTTCCGTTTGCATCAATCTATTAGATGGCATTGACCAAACAGGTGGCATAGATGGAGTAGACATGGAGTTTAGAGCAGAGGTAACCAATTAAAAATCAGCGGGGTCCAAATAAAGAAAAGAAATCATCAACCAGTAAAGGTCTGGAGACATTTTAAATTGTAATCAGTTACTTTAAAATTTGAAATTTAACACTGAAATAAAAGCAGGTTTTTACGCATCCATTTTAAACATTGAATTTATAAATAAAAAAAATACTTAAAAACATATAACATTTTTCCATTTTAAAATCTAAAGCGTTTTTTAGAGTAGAGAACAACTATCATTCAGTTTGGTATATAGACAATTTCCCGATTCACATATTTTATTAAACACCTGAACTAACTGTTTATTTTTTTTTCTCTTTCTCAGTGAAAGCAGTGGGCTTTATGCTGCCCTGCAAGGCTTTAAACCTGGGATTTCAATGGAGTCAAAGCCATTCTAAAGCACATATCAAGGAGCTCATTTTGAGCCTGGATCCATATTTATTTTTGATTCTGTTCATGCTGGAGAATCCTGCTTCACAGCAGCAGGTTGAGCATAACATACTCTAAATATGCAGGATCATTGAGCACGCCAGTTCTTCCAGCAGTCCACACTTTCTCTGCTCTCTTTTTCTCTTCATCTTCTCCTTCTTTCCCATCGCCCAGCTTGCCACAGGTTTGCCTGCTGTGTCTAAAAGTAGCAGCAGCAGCAACCCAGACTGACAGCAGCTCATTGGCTAATGTGTATCATGCAGCCTGGTTCCAGACACTCTGTAGGGCTTTACCATATTAACAGGAGAAGCGGGGCAAGAGAAATTAGACACTGTCGTCGGACAATATACGGTAATTTATAAATGTTTTAAATCAGGTTGGGTCCAGATTAGCCAGCAGGTGGGTCCGGATCCGGACTGTGGTCCGCTAATCCGTGACCTCTGGTTTAGGGTATAATGCTACCTTCACACCGGACGCAGCAGGAGCAGCAAAATCGCGTCTGCTGCTTCCTTTTTGCTGCTTGTACCACGTACATAATCCAAACTGCAGGCACCAAGATAATAAAAGCGAACACGCTTTGTCGGCAGGTTTCCGCATTTTAAGTTAATTTAGGCGTTAATAAACTGTTTCAGAGGAGTGATCATAGTGCTCTGTGTCATCAGCAATGTGTTTGTCTCCCTGCCAGCTCCCAGATCAGCGTCTCTGATTGGTTGATGCGGCGCTCAGATGCGCTGCGCCTGCTGCTCAAAACGCGCTGCGGGACCTTTTGCTGCGCCTTGATGCGCATCAACCATTGACTTTGCATGTAAACTCGCTGCTTCTGCTGCGTCCGGTGTGAACGCAGCATCAAAGGGTATGCAAGAGTATGCTTGTAATCTAATAGCAGAGTAATACAGGCTGGAGTAAAACTAAAAGTGCTGCATCATGTCTGAGCTTTGTGCACAGAGTAGTGGGCGGCTCAGCAGTCCCAAGACATCAATAGGTCTCTGTGGCGAGGAGAGAGAAATTCTTTCCAGAATCACAGTTACATCTATAACCGCAGCGGGTTTCAGGTGCATTGAAGGTGTCAGACTGAGATTATATAGCAGCTGCAAATTGGGTTAGCCTTAACTGCAAAAACAGCCTAATGTACTTACCGTTTATTGCACTGTATATCTAATACTTCTCTGAAGTTCTATAGAGCTACATATCCATCCTCTATTATTTCTCTGGCTTTCCTTTAAGTATGCAGAGAAGTGCTACAGGCGAGAGCGGGGAGGAGAAAATAAACACTGCAGCTTTTAACTGAATTAATAAGCTCCTGGTTTTGGATTTGTTTTACAGCTTATTAAAAACCAAAAAAAAATGTATGTTTGGGAAATCAATAAGTTTATATTTTTAATTTTTAATTTTGCTATGAAATTAGCTTATATGTTTTGAGATCTTTTAGCTCACTTCTTGTTGTCGGGTAGGTTTGATTTAAGTAGCATTGCATTTTGGATTGATTGTTCTTTTAATATTATTTGTTTTAAGTAAATGAAAGCTGTAACCATAAAAGGTGGAAGTGAATAAACTAAATCAAATAATTCTCTTCAGTACTTTGGGATTTACCATTTGTATAAATGCCCAGAAAAAGATGGGAAATGTAAATAAAAGCTGGCTGAATGCTGCCTCGGATGCCGTTTTTGATGTAGGATTTATTTTATCAGAGGTTCCCCTCTGGGGGCCGTGTATGTTTGTGCTACTCTGGCGTTTGATGGGCTTTAGCGTATCGGCCAGATGAGCGGCCCAGGCCACCGCGGCTGGAGATCAAAGAAACGGCACAAAACCCCCGCCAGGCCAGCGAAGCTTCGCAAAGATTACGGCAACAGAGAAAGCACGCCTTTGCCCTTCGTATTTATGCTCTGATTACCCGCGCCGAGGCAGAGTGGAAACAGAAAGGTTATCAGAGAGCTGCTGCAACCAGAAAGGGGAGAAATTCCCTTTGATTGTCTTCAGATGAGAATGGATGTCGAGGTGCAGCTAAAGGAGGACGCACTGATGAGCTGAGATGTCCTTTTCCTGCACCTCCAGCTAAAAATGAAATGACTGATAAAATAATGTTTACCCTCAGCAGAGAGCTGCGTGTCGACCTTTTGCGTGGGCTCTGCACTTTCCTTCTCCTCTGTGCCTTGTTGCATAGTGTCCGTTTTGGAGACGTCGGTCTCCTGGTTGGCTTCCCCCTGCTGACTGGCTGAGACAGAAGTGGTGGGTGAGCTTTGGGACCCTGGGCGGGAGGCGCTGCTGCTGGGACCCTGGCTCTGGCTAGTGTTGCTGGTGGTAGTGGGTGTGCTTGGTTGCTTCTCTACACTGTGCTGCTTGGATCCCATGGGGGACTGGCTATTGTTTACTGTGGCAGTGTCTGGGGGATTGTCCTCTGATTTAGGAACGTCGGGCTCCTCAGGCTGGCTGACTGAGTTGCGAGTGCTGCTTGGTGCCTGAGTGCTGGCCGCCTCCACCTGGGTGATCGTTTGCACAGACTCTGTTGAAGCGCCGGACGATTTTTCCTGACGGAGGTCCTCGTTGGAAGCCTGCTCCTCTTCCCGAATGGGGGACAGCTCTGTCTCGGTGAAGACGTCCTCAGAGAAGGAGCCGTCTGTGCTGCGTGGGGCTCCACTGCTGCCTTCATTGGGCCCCGGCTCTTTCAGGCGGGGCTCCGGCTCTTTCTGCTGGGATGGGTGCCTTTCAGCTGGCAGAGGCTCCAGGTCACTTCAAAAAACAAACAAAAAATTGAGACAGTTAGAAGAAGCCTTCAAATCTTCTTCTTTATTAATGAATCACAGTGAAGACAATCTGAATGAGAACCAGAAAAGAGGCTGCAAACAACTCTGCATGAATAAGACGTGTTATTTGCTGTGACACAATCAGGGCGACGTTTAGTGGATGCACAATGCCTCTGAGGAGTGCAACGCAAAACAGCATGGGCAACAAGCAATGGCCTCCTAAATGAATGAATGCATCCCATAATAGTAATGCAGGGACCTTTGGCTTTAAACTAAAGTGACAGAATCTCTATTCCAGCAGCAAAGCACAAAATTAATATGTTTAACCAAATTTATTTAACTTCATTTAAGATAAGTTTATTTAAGATCAGCCAGATTAAATCTGATTGTAACATTACTTCTAAAATAATGACTAGTATTAGCATTATTGTGATATGTTTTTATGCTGCGCACAAATATATATACTGTATTCCCTTATTTTGTCACATTAGACCAACAAAGTTTAGAAAAATAGGTTTGGACCAACGGACATTGGTGGGTAATTGTGAAGCGGAAGCAAAATGAACCAACAACACATTCATGTCCACTGCAGGATATGGTAGGGGCAGTATTATGCTGTGGGGAAGCTGGGCAAGTAGATGGAAAGCTATTAGAGCTAAATACTGCAAGACTTCTTAGAGGCAAAGTTCATGTAGATGGGGATGTTCTGGGTTCTTGGTGGATTACCTCTATGGAGGTAGCCTGACGTAGTCCGACTCAATTCTAGTCAGAATATGAGTCTGATGCTGCTCCATAGAGCTGTGATTATGGGGCGTGTTTCGAAGCGCGCTTTGGTCACGTGGTCGATTACGTTACTGTTTGTCATCTGTCCATCATCCTATAAAGCCCGCCCTGACAATTTGATTGGATCGCCTGACAGTGGGCGATAATACTCGCGCTACTATGGAGCAGAGCCAGACCGAACTTCCCCGAACTCAAACTTTGTGGGCGGGACTAAGTTCGGAATGGCACCCAGGCTACTATGGAGGACCAATTCTGCCATAATTAAAAATACATACAGAAATAAATGAAGTATAATTGCTTTAAAAAAGTAGCAAATAATATACATTTTTGTGCCATTAAATCTGACAAATTATTAAAAATAAAATATTTCTTCAACAATTGATCAATTATTCAACTAAAAATATATATTTTAACTTCCACTTTAATTTTTACTTTTCTTCTTGCATTTACGCAGACTTACTTTTAACCCACTTATTTTCTGTTATACATTTTCTTGAAGTCTTTATTGTGTTTTTGTGTATTTATTGCAGGGTTAATATTTATTCACACCAACATTTTTACTTCACCATAAATATTTATTTCTATTTTATTCTAACATCCTTCTATTTCCGAAACAATGATTTTTTTCTGCCTCTAACTTTTCTAAGTTTCTTTACCCAAAGAATTTTCGACTGCCCTTTTTTTTTGGGTCGTCTGACTGCAGCTGATAATGTTAAAAAATAAAAAAGGAGTTACTCTTGCAGACAATTGCATTTTTAAATCTCTTTCAATAATTTAATGGAATTAAATATTTTTAAATATTTATGTGTAAATATGGTAGTCTTGCTCAATGTTTTCCAATGTTTTCTTCGAAAATGGGAGTGGTGCAGGAGCGGGAGTCATTCTGAATGGGAGCGGGATGGGAGTGGGAGTAATTTCACCAGGAGTGGGACGGGACAGGATTTATATTTCTACTCTGGCCAGAGATCGGGACAGGACACAATTTTTTTCTGTGGGAGTGGGATGGGACAGGAGTGAAAATCCACTCCCGTGTCAGTCTCTAGTCCAAAGTAAAACTAACTTCACCACGGCAGTGTACAAGCGGCGAGCTACCACATCCAAACTTTGCAACACCTCTGGGTCAAGATCTGCTTCAGTGGTTCTTTCTAACAATATTATTCTCTCTGTTAAGCAGTCAAGACGATAATAAGAACATAATCATTAGAAACTGAGTTGTCTTCTGACAAATCAGCAACTTGTCTGAGTTAATTAGCTATGACAAGTTAGCCATCGCTGCACCTTTGCCTGGAGGCAAAATCCAAGCACGCACGCTCGTTCTCATTAACCGTTGCCGATGACGCCACCTAAGTCCTTCATTTATTTCTGTATGTATTTTTAATTATTGCAGGATTAGTCCTTCATATACCGCTGAAGATAAACCTTTGAGTTATGTCACAACATTAGCAATGATATCAATATTGCACATGGATGAACTAGCGTCCAAGGTGGTTCACACTGCACCATTTCCTGTGCAAAGCGCTCACAAAGACAGATCACCGCGACATGTGAAGAAGTATATTGCTCTATATTTTCAGCAAAATTTCTCTGAGTTTTTGTAGTAATTTAGAGGTGAGAGACTGACTGACCAGTAGCATTTGAAACGACACAACCAACCTCCTGCAAAGGCAATCCAGCTACAGATCCAGGCTCTGAACTTTCGAAGCAAGAGGAATATCTAAGCATTGAATTTATTATAATATTTTTATTTTTTAGCCACTGAAATGTTTTAAACAAGCAAAAATTTATTTTTTTTCTTAATTGAAACATTAATTAATTGTGATATGTGAATGTACTAACTCTCTAAACGTAATTTGTTGCATTTGAAGAATTAAATGTCACACCCTCCGAAACAGGGAGGATGATTCACAGAGTTCCCGTCCGCTGCAGCCTATTGCCCAGCGCTGGGCTCAGTCCAAGACACAATGAAAGAAAAGGAGAAACAGATGCTGAGGAATCAGCTGGATATATCACAGAGACCTACAATTAGCTACACGCGACAAGCTAAACGCAGCTCCGCCCCAAAGGAAGCGGGCTACTAGAGACTCATCAGACAGTGGGAAATGTGTCACCTGCAAAGTACGTCTGTCTTCCGACGCTCTAAAACAATCTATAGCATTAGTGACAAAGACAAAACGACCTGTGGAAGGCAATGGTTCAAGTTGATCAGACTTGGTATCGTCTGCTTTCTCCCACATAATAAGATAAGCCATCACAATGTAGGAGGGCAGAAGTAGACTTCATTAACTTTGGTGTAACCGCTGCTTGTTTTTGAAGGTATGTGTGCAGAAAGAATTAAACGGCGCTGATGGTGATGGCCCTCGATCAACTGAACACTTAAGAGACTGACATCAATTAGGAGGCAGCTGCATTTCAGGTTATATTTAGTCACACGGAGGATGAAGACGTCACTCTTGTGGGGGAAAAACGTTCACCTACAGACAGGGCGTTTAGTCCTGATACAGGTAGCTTCCGCCTACAGCAGAACCAAACATCTAAACATTGTAAATGTCCTTTAGTTCTTACTCAGGGACTGCCTCTCTGATCCTTGGGTCGGTGATCTCCTTGCAGACGGCCGCTGACTGCACCTCCTCCAGGGGACACATGATGCCGTATTCCTCGCATCCATGGGCCTGAACCAGCGGATCCATGCGGTGAGGGTCGAACATGATGTTATTAGGAGTTACCAACAACACCCCGCTGACTGCACCCTGACAGAGAGATAAAGAGGTGATTAATGCACCACATATTGCCACTGACATTGAAAAAAACAGTACATAAGCATAAAGATGAAAAATAGGAAAAAAGTGAAACAGAAACAAGGTAAGATCAAGTTGAGCTCACTAACGCTCTGAATGAAAGAGGAGTTATTGACTGGCAGAGCTTTCAGTGCTGAGATCTGATACTTTGAAGTGAATCAGATGATGTTCGGTGTCCGGATCCATGTAAGCACAAATAAATGAGAACGAGCAGAACGGCACTTAGACTGAGGCGGTCTGACTTTTTATTTTGGCTCACGATGTTTGGTCTCACACTGATGCGATCTACCTGCTTTCACTGCACGTCTAAAAACCACATCGGACTCAGCTCCGCAGTGAGATGGCGCAACTCGGACTCCTCTATCCGGAAGCCAAACCAGCAGAAGAGGAAACGCACTGCCTTGGAACTTTGAGCAATTTTGTGCTGGAAGCCCTAACAAGAAAAGGCAGGGCTTGCAGGTGGTGCAGTGGTTAGCGTGCACGACCCGTGTACGGAAGACTTAGTCCTTGATGCGGCCGACCTGGGTTCGAATCTGACCTGTCGTCCTTTTCTGCATGTCCTTCCCACTCTCTCATACCCCCTTTCCTGCCAGCCTACTGTCCAGAAAAAAAATGAGACACTAGTGCTGCAAAAAAAAATAAAAAAACTCAAAAAAACGGAAAGGCAACAACGTATTTGGACAAAGACATGGCTGAGCAAGCGTGGCTACTGCGGTCTGTCAATTTTACGGAAAGCCCCAGCCATACTGCTGTGTTTTCATCTGAGAAGAAGAAGAAGAATCCTTGGTTGGGCACTGGGCGATTTGCCCATGACCACCTTACGACGGCCGACTGAATTTCTGAATTAGATTTTCTCCAAACCTTATGATTTCTGATCGGGAGGTGGACATGAGAGGCTGATCGCCCCTCCTTACCCCCTGTACACTACACAACGACGTCAACTACGGAACAGCTGCCTGAAAAGGGCAAACAATTGTATAGTGTATGACCGGCTTAAAGCCCTGAGCAGTGGGCTCAGTCACGACTTATTTAGCAACTGCATTAATGGCAACCATCTAGCTGTGTGGTCGTTCAGTGGTGCTGCCTGTAGATGGCGCTACGTCTCTTTATTGCAGATCATTGCGCATGTTGCTGAGGTTCTATTTAGGCTACAAAAGGAGGATTAAAAAACTATCAGGATGAATGCTTGGAGGTTACGGCCTTATTTTCACCTAATAAACTGGATTTTAGTTTTTTTGATAATTTAAACATAATTTCCCTCATTAAAGAGAGAATTCCAAGCAATGATTGTATTAAAATAATTTCAAAGTTTCATAATAAAGGCTTTTTGAACTGAATTGAAATGATTTAGAGTTAGACCTTCTGGTTCATGTTTAGCTGACTCAGTAGATCCTATTCAGCTCCACAGAGGATGTTATTAGAGCCAGCGATGGTGATCAGTTAGTATCAAACCCAGAATATGATCCTTTTTCTGATTCCAAGCCCACAAAGCTCCATTATGGATGAAAGAATGTCTTTTCTGTTCTAAAATATTGTCAGACATCGTATTTGACTTTAACCAGAGTAAAAAACGTAGCACTGATTATTACCTGCTGGCTGTTTCGTACTAAAGCTTTAAAATAAGCTCAAACTGCTTGAATATCTACAGCTTACTTCAACTCTTACTTTAACACCAACAGAACCGCTTTCAAACACCTCCTTTTCATCGACCACATTTTAGGAGTAAGTGTTACAGCGGCTTTTTTGTTTTTGCAATTCATGCTCTCGGCTTCAGTTGTCTCACCATGCCATCAGTGATGTACTTGCAGTTGATCTTGAGGAACTTCTCCGTCAGGGCCTCCTCCTCCTCGGAGGTGGATGAGACCACTCTGGACTGACGCAGAGCTGAGAACACCGGGGGCTGAACCACTTCTGGTCTGGGTGGGACATCGGATTCCTGTGAGGAGGAGAAAAAGTGGCATAAATTGGAAAGGAAGAAAATAAACAGCCTTTTTTTTTCTTTGCAATCGGCTGCACAAATAAAGAAGCCAAAACCTTTTTATGCCAAGAGGAAAAAAAACAACTAAACCTTTAAATAGTCTTCAACAAACCGTTCACTCATAATGAGCTCTGGAAAAAATAAAAGGCATGCCTTGGTTAATTTGATAATTCACAGTGTGACTAATATGCTTCTCATTTGATCAAACTAATGCGTTTGAGTCTCTAAATGTATTAGATCTCTTCTGCACAGACGGACAATCTGGTTAAAGAAAGGCAGAGAAGATACAAAACAATAAGCATCCAGCAAGGCTGAAGCTCTCAGCCGAATGAGCTAAAAAAAACAACAACATTCAGACAGAAGAACATCAACATGCCCTTGAGTCAAGGTTGGACCACTGGGCTTCATTTGGAGTCATTACATGTGTTTAAATCCGGCTGCCTGCAATAAAATCAACAGATTTACTATTTATTGACTGAAACAAAACAAGTTTGAATGAAATACCAATTCCTTAAATAACAGCTGAAAAGATGCAATCTGGATTATGACCACCCCCCCACCGTGGAGGAAAACACCCCCTGGGCTCAAGAAAAACTAAATCATAACCATCATCGCCTGTGGATTTCTTAGTTTTCTCAGACAGCCCTGATCCTTTCCAACGTCCTTGTTCTTGTTTTGCATTTGTTGCGCTCGTGTTGTTATGACTTTGCATTGGAAATGTGGACGTTTTGCATTTGTTTGCATCCTTTGCTTCGTTCATGCAAAGACATGTTCCAGGGGAAACGCTTTCACCCATTACTACTACATTGAGGTCAAATAGAACTCAATTGTGCATTTATAGATTTTTCATATAGCTAAATCGGTAGTTTTTGTGTTTGGGGCGGGGCTAAACTAAAGCAGGGTTTCTACAGCATAAGGCAAGTAAAATTTTAAGACTTTTTAATGTCACTTAAAATAAAAATTTAAGACCACATTCACAAGAAACACAAGAAAAACCTGCTTGCGACAACTTTACCCAAAGATTTATTATAACATAAACCACTGCACTAATGTTTCAAATTTTGAAAAGCTTCCCATTCAGGAAGAAAGCTAAGAACTCACAAATGAGATATATTTTAACAATTATTTAACTGAATTCACAAACTTTGTTTTAGCAGGGAACAAAACAATCAGTTTTAAAGCCACAACATAACCAGTGGTAAGTTTTTTTTGCAGATATTTTTCTTTGTATCATTTTCTTAGTATGTTTGATTTGGTGATAAGTGGAGGCGTTGCAGAGACAAGGGTGGAACAAAACTGAGAAATACCGGCTGTTTCTCTGTAACTCGATTTTGACGCTTTGTGTTTCGTGCTTTGCATGTGCAACTCCACTGCCTTAATTCCCATCGTCCTGAGCTTGAATGACTTCTTGCACAAAATCCATTGTCCATCATGTATGTTCCCTGGTTTTAGCCATGGAGAAAACTCTTGGCTGGAGACAATTTTCGTCACATTCACACTTGCTCATATTTTCCAGACAAAAAGTTAATGGCGCATCTCCCAAATGTCGCGGCAGCAACAACGCTTTTATTGGTTCCACTATCGGGACGGAACCAATAATGGCGAGCAGTTATATATATATTTTTTTTTATAAAAAAAAAAAATTGTCAATTTTAATGTTTTATTTAGATTACAAAAATACATTGTAATAAAATAATCCTATTTATGATGTTTTAAAAATTAAGACCTACGAAAGACTGACTTAAGACATTTTAATACCAATTAAGGCCTTGGTTTTATTTTGAAGAATTCAATGCCTTTTAAGACTTTTTAAGGACCTGCGGGAACCCTGTAAAGGCATTGACCTCGGTCCATGCCTGGCCACCCCATGAACATTCTTTGCATATGCCACTACCTTTAGGGTCCTTCACCGATTTAGCTCTATAGCAAACGTGAGCTCCTGTTTTAATCTTGAAATATAGGTTGTTGCTGAGCTTAATTTGAAACTAAACTTAATGGATTATTTTTCATTTTTAAAGCTAAAAGATCAAATGAATACCCTAACTTGTGGTTGAGCAGCACTTTGAACTGAACAGGAGCCCTGCTTTAGTTTACCGCAGGTAAATGATTAAGTACAGAAAAGACGTAAGGACCCTGTAGGAGCCTTCAGTTTAGCCCCGCCCCCTTGATGCGAAACGAGGACAGCTTGTAGTGACATCGTAATGGAATAATCTCTGCAGTGAAACTGAAATAATCTGTAAAAATTATGGTATAATAACATTTATAATAAAGTTTTTAATTTTCAGTGTGTGGATTTTCAATGATTGACTTAATTGAACGTTCAATGTTTAAAATTTTTAATGTTCAGTTTTTTGTGTTTTGATTTTTCAATGCCAAATATCGCATTGGATGATAATGCAAGCCGTCACTGATTTAACTTTGTTTCATGTATGTGTGGCAAAAAAACAAAAAAAAAACAAAGCAAAAATAAATATTTGTGCTGGAAAACGGTGGGAGGCATCATGGTTTGGGGATATGTTTCTTCAGAAAGGTCAGGGAAGCATTAGGCGTTGGTTTAAAAAGGATGGAGCTAAATATGAGGCAAAAACAAAACAGGCTAAATAAGGAGGGGATGGGAATTTGCCACACGAGAGATAAAAGGTTTGGATTTACAACACAGAGGGAGGAGATACGAGCACAGAGAGAACAGATATAGTTTCTGCTACAGGAAGAAGAGAATCCACAGCTGAGAAAGGGCATGATGTGCAAAAGGGAAGGGCAGAGAGAAAAAGAAAGGCAGCGAGCGGCGCGTAGGAGTTTTCCTCTGAGAATTTTCACCATGAAGCTACAGCTGCGGTGACGAGCTCACAGAAGAGAGTCTGAGCCCATAACAACTGTCTGCCGTCCTTTTGACACCCCCACGCCTCCCTCTCTCCGTCTCCCGGTGCAGCCGACAAACCGCCTGCAGCTACTAACCCACACCGACACGGGCAGCTCAGACGCTGGCTGCCCGGGAAGGCCGAGAGGGGGCGGCCAATCTACATAATGAGCCGATGAGGCAAAAAAGGCAGATTAACGAGAAATCTGGAAGAGCAATGGAATCAGTCAAAGATTAGCAACAATGTTAGAAAACAGCTTCTCTGATTATTACTGACTTTAGGATGTGGACTCCATTCGCGGAGCTGAAACAACTTGTGCACTTCAGCTGAACAAGCTGCACAGCTGCAGTTCCCCACTTTGCTTTTCAGGCGAGTCACTTCTGAGCTGGGACTCATTTAAAGCCAACCTTCCACTTCACAGGCTTCACATAAAGAAAAGAGGAAGAGGCTCTCTCTCACCTGCACACGTGCAGCAAACACCTGCATTAAACCCAGCAGCAAGCAGCGTCCAAACACGTCCTCCCTCACAGGAAAAACAGTCTGGCATTCCCTGTCATTAAGTCTGCCACGTCTGGGAGAGGGGTGTTATGTGTTGGCAACAAAATAACACCCATTCAACATCCCACAGTGTCCACTTGGGTGGATGCTTAAGGCACACTGTCTGCCAATCAGAGGACAGCTGTTCATAACAGATTGATAAACCAGTGGATGGGTCTACCTGATAAAATGAGATATGAAAGATTGAGAAAAAAGTTCCCATTTAGTCTGCAAATCAAATGGCAAATAGGAACTGGAAAAAGTCCTACTCCATGGACCTAAAAATCTATGTCAGCGCCTCTTTCTGCCCCAAACCCACAAAGGGGAGTGGTGGCCTAGTGGATGGCCATAGAGCTTGGAAATCCTGAAGATGTGAGTTCAAAACCCACTCCCACAGACTGCCACTCTGGCTCTCTTAGCAAGAACCTTAACCTTAGACTGCTCCCTGAGTGCCGCAAATGGCAGCCCACTGCTCACCAAGGGCAGCACTCGAGTTGAGGGGGATGAGGGGGGAAGGCATCCCCCTTCTTAAAAAAATCTTAAAAATCATCCCCCTTCTTAAATTACCATCCACTGTGACATTTTATTACCACATGTGTAAAATTCCTACTAAATATTAACAGCAAAGGCAATAATATTGTCCTTTCAACATTTGGCGGGCTGTGGGCTTAAATTATGCACTATAAGATGGATAACTTATAGCGCATAATTTATAAAGTGCTCAAAAATATTAGCAACATTATTAAAAATTATGATATATTAATGACTGATAACAGCCGATACCGATAGCAATACCAATATATCATGCATCTCTAGTATGTGCATAATTTCAATTTCATCCATCCATAAAAATATGAAAATGACAAACACAAAAAAACACAATACTGGGCAAATTATCATTCCCAGACATCCAAACCGTTAAGCTGTCAAGATTGCGGGCGGATGGATGGATGGATGGATGATTTCCCTTTAAGCTGAATCGTTGATACCTTTACAAGCAGCATTATCTAGAATCGTGTCCCGCAAATCGTTGACAGTCAAAGTCTAGGTATTTAAATTTATATTTCAAAAATGATTGAACTTTATTTTTACTCTATTTTTTGTGCTTTAATTATTGTAGGTTTCTTATATTTCAACATTAGGTCTGTTTCACCTGTGAGTCTGTCTCTGAGTTGGCTGGCACAGATATTTCTGTATCTTGCTGAACTACACGACAAAAAAGATATGCTGCATTTTAAAAATAGCATTGCATTATTTTTTTCTTATAAAATTTATGGTAAACTTGGAGATATGTGTTATGCATGTTGCATATCCCAATAAATCAGTTTTATCTTCCAATCTGCAGCTGTTTCTACTTATGTCTCTCTGCTGTGCAAAAAAACAGATTTACGAACCTGTCAACTAATATAATGAGGCCAGAGAAAATAATTTTCAAAATATGCAGAACCTCTGCTGTCTGATTCTGTCTGTTCTATAAGAAAACAAACGATATGTGGAAATGTTTAACTATAACGTACTTTAACAAGTAAAGAAGGACAATGTTTAAACTCTACGTTTTGTCAA